CCTCAAGCAGATCAACACTCCCACCTAATATGGTGTCGTCTGCAAACTGACTGAAGGTACAGTTGATCCCCTCGTCCATATCATTGATAAATACATTTAAGAGAACTGGCCCCTGTACTGAGCCCTGGGGAACACCACTTGTGACCAGCCGCCAACTGGATTTAGCTCCATTCACCACCACTCTTCGGGCCCGGCCACCCAGCCAGTTTTTTACCCAGCAAAGTGTATGCCCAAACAAGCCATGAGCAGCCAGTTTTTCCAGGACAATCCTGTGGGAAACAGTGTCAATGTTTGATCCTGCTTATGCAAGGTCAGGGTGTGTGTTGTTTACCTTCTCTGTGACACAACATACTTAGTGGAGTTGCAAGTTCTCTGCTAGCTGTGGAGAGTGTTCTCATTCCACTGGTAAAGACACATAATCGTATAGCGGAGCCCTACTGCCTGGAAGCAGTTGCATTGTGCTTCAAAGAGATCGGTGAATCTTTATCTGTGTATGTCTTCACAAGTGCTTTTTTAACTATAGAAGAAGTGAGACTGTGTGGCCAAACTATATAGTGCATGATTTTTTAAGACTCCTGAACTATTACAATGAAATGCAAATGGAGAGGCATAAAAATAAGAAGTGGAATGAAAGAAAAATAGCTTACATGAGACATGTTGGAGGAAGCATAAAGCTGTCTATTTCAGAATTCTGGATGGAAAACAAATTCAAGTGTTTCTAACCCTCTTCAACTTGAGGAAGAACGAACTTTTTTTCCTTCCAAGGGAAATCATTACTTTAGAGATTGTTTTTTATTTTTTTCCTTGACTGCCAACTAATCAAAATACTCGAGTGTAGTTTGTAGGTAAATCTATTTTAGACGTTTTTGAGCTAGACTTTTACAGATAAAAGGTTGGCCAATCACAGTTATTCTACATAACTGAGAAGTAATTTTTTAATATACTTGAAACAGAGTACGGAGGGTCTGTCCTTTAAACAAGCATAAACTGCGTATTTACTTATACTTACTGTCAGCTGGTCTTGAAGCTCTGGGAATATTTTCAATATTCTGTTGCATATAAAGTCCCCAAAGTAATTTTAATTATCATTCGCAGGGTAAACAAGGTCTCTATAAACTGGCTCTCTAAGTAGGCATTATCTTGGGTTTGAGAGTGTGTGCCTTCATGTGTCAAACACTGACCTGCAAAGAAGTACTTGATAGAGGCAAACCCTCGTGCAAAATATGTAAAGAAAAGTAAGAGATGAAAATATCGTCCTTCCTTTCTCACCTTTCTCTGCAAAAGAGAAACAAAGCTGTGATGTGTTGAATAACTATCGGACATCTCTGGGTTTTTTTTGGTGGGGTGTGTTTTCTTTTTTTCCCCAATGCTTTATACGTGTCAAAAATGTACTGATACAAACTTCTTGCAGATTGTTTTACCAACACTTGTTGCAGTCATCCTCTAAGCCATCCACTAGAACTGGAAGAAAATAATGCCATCGGTGTTCGGAGAGCAGCACAGAGACGAATGAAAGCGGAGTTAGGAATTCCCATGGAGCAGGTAAAGGAAGGAAGGAGAAAAACGAATTCTTGCCACTGTTTGCCAATTTACAGGCTCACTGCACCTGGCAGACAGAGTCAGTCTGGAACCTAAAAATGAATTTAATTCTGGAGATGTAGAGAACTTAGTGAATTTGAGACTTCTTCATCTATATTCCAGCGTTTAAAAAGCTGGTATCACTAAATGGTATTTTAGAATATTCCACTGCTCAAACTAAATATGAGCCAAAGAGTAAGTGACACTGTAAGGATCGCATTGCTTCAGGTCTGTGGGTGCCTACGTGTTTTCCAGCTGGGCCTGCTGTCCTGCTTGCTCAGAGGAAGGCAGTGTGCCGGCCTGGAGAAGGCTGATGGCAGAGCGCTGTACACGTTCTGGAGCTCTTGGAGGGCATTGCTGTGAGCTGCTGCCAGCATCCATGTACAAATCCCTTTGCAATCCCAAGTTTCCTGTGGGAACTAGGCACTAGGCACTCAGTGTTCCTTCCAGAGCAATCACACAGCCCGCTTCTGGTACCTTCCTTTCTGGTGGCAACTTGGGAGTGCACAGAGAGCAGGGTGAAGCCAGCTGAATTATGCTCATAGTTGAAATCTCTTTCCACGTTTTGTAACTACATACATTTGTGTCATGGGATGTGGGAGGAGGAGTGGGCTACTGGGAAACATGATGTTTGTTGTCTCTGGAATTACCCGGTCTGCACCGTTTTGTAACTACATACATTTGTGTCATGGGATGTGGGAGGAGGAGTGGGCTACTGGGAAACATGATGGTTAGGTCGTCTCTGGAATTACCCAGTCTGCACCTTGCACAGATCCCTGGTAGATGGGAGCTGTGTGTGGTCTGTCAGTATGCGGTTCAGAACTTGGCTTTTTTACTTGGGAGGTAAGGGGTAGGGGCAAGCATTTGTGTTCATCAGTGCTTCAGCAAGTGTGCCTTAATGTCTGGTAAACATTATTTGAAACTTACTGTGTAGAAGAAATCCACTCAAAATATTAAGGGTGAGTCTGACTAGAGAAGTGCTGTGCAATTCATGTCATCAAAGTGCAATAAAAATTTTCTGTCATAATAATTCTTTGTGAAGAAGGACATTGCAATTGTACACTTGGGGGAAATATAATTTTTCAGGAAGAGGATAATAGCGGATAATTCTACTGTAATGCCTAGCACTGCAGTTGTTCTCATTTGGCACTGGTTCTGACGAGTGTTTTGGTTCTAGGTAACTCCAGAAGAAATCTCCTATCTGACACGAATTCACTACAAGGCCAAGTCTGATGGGATCTGGGGTGAACATGAGATAGACTATATCTTATTTCTACAGAAGGACGTAACGCTGAATCCTGACCCTAATGAGATCCAAAGCTACTGCTATGTGACACAGAAAGAACTGAAACAGCTCTTGGACAAAGCTTCCAAGAATGAAGTTAAGATTACTCCGTGGTTTAAACTAATTGCAGAGACCTTTCTTTTTAAGTGGTGGGATAACTTGCATAACTTGAACAAATTCGTTGATCATGAAAAAATACACCGGATGTAAATAGCTGGGGTAAAAGATGCTGAAGGCTAGCAATGATGTGCTGTCTCATTTACACTGTGGTAACTCATGGCTCCTGAGTGCAGAGCATTGGTCACCTGGAGCCTGTTAAACAACTTTATACAGAGATGGTTATAGCCAATGTTTTTTCTTCTGTCCTCACTTCCTCTTCCCCCCAGCCTTGTTCTTCCTGGGCGAGTTAAGCTTGATCTCATGTGAAATGGGTAACGGTAATGTAAGAAACCCCTGGGTTCATCTTTCTCCGTTCCCTGGTGTGATTCGAGAGATCCTCAGCCTGCATGAACACAGTTTGCTCTTGCTTGCGTAACTGCACACGCTGGCAAGGGAGCTTGGGTGGCTCCTGTCTGGCTCATTTGGTAGAGCTGGTATCTTCCCAACTCTACGTGATGACGCCTTCTAAAATAGTGATTACAAAAGAATTTGAGTTCTGCATTGATGTTGAGAAGACTAGTTGCCTGAAGAAAAAAACAATTAATTCAAAGTAATCAGGATGATTTTAATTGTAGAAAGCAGATCTCTTCAGGTACTCTATAATTAACCAAACACATAAATGCTTCAGTAATTGGATTGTGTGAACTGAGTTTCACTTTGAAGTGCTGCAATATGTGTCATAGCTTTAGATAATAAATATCGAGGGGTTGTTTGGGGTTTTCTCCCCACCACCCTTTTCTGGTTAGTTGATGGCTCAGTACTGGACATCACTTAAAAAAAAAGGAAAAAGGGTTAATTATATCAAATGTAAATGGTACCTATGTAATACCAGAAGTAGCCTGTCTTTGGAGAAGGGATATAGGGATATGCATTAAATGACTCTTCTCAGTCTTCCAGAAGATAAAGGCATCTTGATACAAGCTTTTTTTCCTGCGACATGTACTGCAATAGTCCTTCCTGAACAACTCAAACCCCTTGAACTCCAGAATTCAAGACCAACAATTCATGGGCTTATACCAGGTCTTAATTTCAGTTAATCAGAAATTGTACCAGAGTGCAAGAGCTAATCCTTTTGATCTTGCAGTTAATTGCTAGTAACAGGAGTAAAATGAAAGGCTTTTTTAAATAAGGCAAATAACCAAGGGTATCTCAATTTGAATTAAACATTTTTGGTTTCATTTTTGTTCCCCCACCCCCCCCAGCTTAATTGTGATTTCTTCTGTTACCAGACTAATCAACCTAGATTTCTTAAGTTAACTTCTCCTAGAGAGGCACCTTGATGAAAAAGGATGTTTTTCATACCACTTCTTCTCCTTGCATGTCAAACATGGTTATAACTAGTCTGTGCCTGGTTTCAAGGTAAAACGAATTTTTTCCAGTTTCTCTTTCTCATCCCATTTGTGACTGCAGCACTGAAGCTTCTGCGTGCCAGCATCTCTAGTGGTTCAACACTTACAAGGTTTTAGAGAGAAGTTTGTTGTATGTTGGCCTGAATTGGTGGATTGTCTTGAAGCATGTAATAGTGGGTGAGGGAATAGCGATGCCATGTAACAGCTCTCTTGAATTCAGTGCAGTACCAGCCACATTACCCAAGTAATCTATTAGAGTACTTTTCAAATGCTTAAAATACTTCTAAAATAAAATATTATCTTAAAAGGTAAGATTATGATTGAAATACCTAAAACCTTGGACTGTTGGTTTTTTTCCAGACTTTGAGACACCTGGAGAATAATCTCTGTCATTACCCCACTAAGAACAACAACGTGCCTATTGAACATCACTGAAGCAGTGTGACGGGGAGTAGCAGGGCATAAATTTCTTTTAAGAGAGTTCTGCTTTTCTAGTTCAAATGGCCAGCTTGGAGCAAAAGCTGACAAAGCATATCCTGAAGTAGAAATAATGTGCATAAGGAAGCTGGAAGCAAAGTTTTGCTAGACAGTTCTTCAAAATCCCTTAAAAGTTTTGATGTTAAAGTTTTTCTTGACATTGGACTTCTTTGCAGCATTACACTGTGTTTTTAATAACAAATTTATTACACGTAGATGATTAGGGAAGCAACACAGATTTACACCTAATGCTTCAATATGCTAAAGTTGACATCTCAACACTCTTCTTACCTTGTTGTATTTAAAAACCCAACCATTTAAGGATTCTTCTCCCTTTTTTGGTTGTTTGTTTTTAACATGCATATTTCATTGGATTCCTGTTTAATCTTTAAAACTGCATTTTAAATCTATTGTTCAGGCAACAGATTTATAATGCCTAATTTTACTAACCTCTAGATAATCCTACCTCGTTCTTCACCAACTAGGGACAAAAAGGGAGTATTTCACATTTGACAATATATTTTGCCTTGAACAGATACAGATTTTTTTTGTCTATCCGCTTCTGAAGAGACAATGCCTTCCTAAGCAGAGGATGACAGTAGCATAACTGACATGCACTCAGGACAAAATTTCAGTCTTATCCTCATTTTCTACCTATCTGAAATACTAGTATTAATCTGAAATATTAAAAGCTGTAAGTTGTACCTTGCCTGCCCATGCTGGTTTAGGTTATTACAGATGGCAGGTCAGTACTAAAACTGCCGTTACTTCTCCAGCGTCAGTCACTGTGTAGCTTAGTAAACTGGCAGTATTTCTCCCATTCATTCAGGACGGGTTCAGTGCAGGAGCACCAACTTTGTGCAGTACTCGTCAGTCTCCCATTACTTCCCCACCGATTATCAGCCTTCACCTGCAACATAAACTCATCACTTATGATACATCAAAGAATTCACTTGCACACAGCAAACCGAATGTTACTGATATGCAGTAGCTTATGAAGCTATGCATTTTTAATTCTGATGGTAGCTTCATTAACAAATACTTCAAATTTCTAGATTTAACCTCATTTTAAATGTAGTTTTACATAGCACTTTACATGCTTTACTGCTACATGAAAGTCAGGAGTAAGAAAATGGAATTAAGTATTTTTCATGTCCATTTAGAAATGGTTTCTGCCACTGGTATCGACAAATTTCTCACGGTATTACTTGGAACTCCAAGGTATCAGAACTTTCCCCTCTCTAAGCTTCAAGTATCTTAACCACTAACACAAACCCATGTACTTTTTAAACACTGTATTACTAGAAAGGAAGACAGGACTAGAAGTTAGTCTTAATAAATTCAGTTTTAATTCAGAAGACTGCTTATCTCCTCTGTGTTTTACCAGACTTTCTCTTCCCAGCCAGCAGATGTTTTGGCTTCAAGTCAAATATGTGTCTGTCCGACTCTCCTTTCCTGCCCAGGCGATTCATTTTCTTTTGAGCTTTCTTTGCCATAGTCTTGACCTTCTTCACCATCTATTTAAAAACAAAAAAACATGCAGAGTAACTTCCTCAGAGACTCAGGTAACTAGCTTTATCTTTTAAAAAACCACTAAGCTCGACGATTTTAACAAGGACGTTAACACCCAATGTATGGCACCATCTGCAACTCTGGAACAGTATCACTGCAAGTGACACTAACCCTCTGTAGCGACTCTTCTTTTTCCACTACGCTAACAATACGATCGCACTATCCCTGGAATTTCTGACTTACTGAAGGTGGAACTCCACAGTTTGTAGAACTCTTCCTTCATACTTGCATTTAGAGACCAAAATTTAAAATGTACTTCTTTAGTCTATTATTACGTCTTATTTGTAAGAACAAACTAGGCATTTTTTAAGCACAGAGAGTTCAAATGAACAGAAGATGAAGCTGCAAAGAGAAGAAAGATGAACTCTGTACAAACATAACCAGCCTAGTAAGAAGTTTCCCAGAAGATGGTTTAAGTACAATCATGCTGTTTTAATTTTTATAGAGGTAAATAACTTTAACAAACCTTTTCATCACGAAGACCAGAAACATCCCGTGGTGTGCGAGAGGAGCTGCGACTGCGTGCCGCAGATTTAGGAGTTTCAGACTCATCGCGTTTACGTTTCCTTGTGACGCTACGGGACCTTCTCACATAATGTGCCTGAAAATCAAAACATCACTTTAATCATCAAAAACAAAACAAATCAGCTCAGACAGCCTCCATTTCTTATTAGACTAATATGAAAAAAAAAACCAAGAAGTAGACTGCTGTGATACATTATATTGGTTATTCCTTGGTAACATAAAGACCTTGTCAACTGTTGGTTGCTGCCTTTCTGTCCTACAGCAATATCCACATTTCGATGAATATTAGCATATTCTTTTCACAATTATTAACTGCAGTTTTCTGATTTTTTCTGAGTAGACTCGTAAGTACTGAATAAAAAGACATAAAGTAATGGATAGCAATATTGAAGCAATTTTGCAACAGCAAAAAAGCAATGAAGAAACCTGCCCTCATTAGTGTCCTGTTTACAGGACAAAGCCCTGAAGAATTTCAGATGTGAAGACTTGCCATCCTACAGCATAACTATTAAATTCCTTCTCACCAAGATCGCTCCTAAATGAACACAGCATGTCAGCTCCAAGAAGCATAAATCCTTGCTTCAGACATGGAGTGCTGATATTCCTTGTTTCCTAACTCCTTGTTGAGTTAAAGTTGAGTTAAAGAATCTGAGGTCTCAAGATCTAAATAGCCATAGTACTGCTGGATTTGCTGTACAAAATGGATATTTTTTTTAATTTCTGATAAAATGAAATGTCTCCTGAGGGCAAATCTGTTTGAAGTACTTTAGCTGCCTTACATCTAAAGATGACAGTTGCCCTCGAAAACTTCAATTACAACTCACAGAATTAATGAACTATAAAAAGATAAGCCTGATCTGTCATTATTACTATTTCTGACACAGTAGTGTCTCATCCAACAAGCGGACTTCAAAATTAAGCACGTTTAGCCAAACTCCATTCTTGAATCCTATACAAATTCCAAAAGAGTTCTAATAGAAAGCAGTGCATATACATATATATATGTGATTCTTGATAAATGTTAGTTTATTTGTTCAGCCTATTCAACATGTTTTGATCACGTCACTCAAAAATTCCAGTATCAACTGCCTCATCTCTGTTTCCTATTTTCTCCTTAATAGATCCCCCCTCTCTCTCATGCCATCTGTAATAGGCATTTCAAATGTGCTCAAAGAATTTTAGCTTGTAATGAAACTGATCTCTTAGATAAACTTTGTGTTTAATTATCAAAAACTTACATCATCTTTGTTAG